TTGGCATATGTTGATCAAATATTATAGAATCTTTATGTGCAAAGAAATAGCGTAATTATTATTTTCTGAAAATATATCATTGTGAAGAGAATAGATAGGTAGATAGATCGATAGGTCAATAGATTAAGGATGTGTTATTAAAAATGACTGTTATTAAATGTAGTTATTCAATATTTTTGTTTATAGTTTAAGATTATTTTTGCAAGCAACAAGGAAATTAGGAATTAAATAAAACCCAAATAAAAAATCTTATATTCCAAAGAGTTTGTAATCGGGGTTACGGATTTATATGGCGCTTAAAAAAATTGGAAACAAAAATTGGAATAATTATAAACATCGTAAAGAGATTCAGTTAACATATACATATGCATAATGAATTTTATATAAATGCAAGACTATATAAATCATCAAAAAGAGATCAGAAAGTGTAGGCCCAAGTTAATTTGACGAAAAAGTTGATATGTTAAAGTTAGAATTAAATCAGAGATCTATAAAATTTAAAAAAATAATCTGATCCAAAAATATATTATTAAAACGATGAACATATTTATGATTTATGTATTGACTTATACCTTTGGTATTACAAAATGATTCGTAATTGAAATATAAAATTTTTAGAAAAAAATTCAAACAATATAAACATTCTATAATTTCAACTTTGACGCTATAAAAGTATAAAGAAAACCACAAAAATAGCGGTAGATGTTTAATCGATAATAGATTTCTACATCTTTCAGAGCGGTTTCTAAAAAGAGTTATAACACTGAATTCTTATTAGAGTTGTAGATCTTAACAGTCACTTTCAACGGAGATCAGAGAGCCATGATGTTAGATGATTGAATTGACTCCTGAAACCTATACATTGTTGGTACCATAGAAATATAAATGACGAAAATGTTCATCAACTCGCGTCAAACAGACTTATAATAACTTAATTCACAATTGTATATTAATATCTGGCAAAGAGAAGTTGAGTAGCTAAAGATTCTTGTTAGATCAAAAAACTCACTTGGTTCAAATTGGAAAACATTTGTCGGCTTTATCAACGAAAAGCTGTTGAATTGCTAAAATTTAGTTCCATTTTCATGTGCATTGGGGAGGTATGGAATAAGTCTTGGTGTGCCCTCTAACGGTTTTTATCGGAGTTGTGGCTCAATGGGTAAGGAGGAAATTGTACTCCTCCTCATGTATTAGTGCCCATCTTTACCTCTTTCTAACTGACCAAACAGAGCTCTCATTTTAAAATTGGTGATTGAGATTTATTAGATTGGTTCGTTTTTATTTTAATAAGATAGCTGCTCTTTGAGGACATCACCTTTGAGGGGGTTCTTCAGGTCTGGTGTACGGGCGGTATCTTAACTGT